GACACACTCAAGCCCACTGCTGCCGTCTGTCAATCCGTCTGGTTAAGGGTCTTCCTTCTCCTTCATCAACTCTCCACCTTTCCAAGCACGAAGCCCCTCTTCCAAAGAACAGCCTCTCCTAGCAACATGCCCAAAATGTGCTAAGGTGAAGCCATATGAATGTCACCTCTAGACTAATGCTCAGAGAGGCTCTGGTGGCATGGTTTATGGGTAAGCCCACAATATCGAGGAGACCAGATCAACTGTTCTGGTTCATGACCATCGACACCGGGTAAGTGAAAACACTGTAAGAATGCTTCATTCTGTGGTCCTGTCCCTATAGAAGGACCTGCTCCCCCAGCCCACTGTGGTCTCGAGCCCAGGGAGACAGCCTTGGGAAGCTCATAGCCTGTCTCCTATTTACCAGTGTATAATACACCACAAGCTTCTCCACCTCACTGTCTCCAAGACTGGCTTTTAAAGCAGCAGGTGGGAGATCTACAGCTTTGCAGCTGCACCGTGAATTGGGAAGCAGCAGGCAGGTGGTAAAGCTGTGTAATACGTGGTGATTTTAGCCTCTAGGAACTCTGGACTCCACTGTAAGGTTTTAGGAAAGTGCTGGAGTTTTAACCTGGGGATCGATGTTCCACGTCAGCCTGCCCTTCTCTGGCAGCAGGTGCGGGATGAAGGAGAGGGAAGACAGGTGGGGTATTCAGTGGAGTAGCTACCATGGCAACCCACATGAAAGGACCATGGAAGCCAACTCAGCAGGCAGATAGATCTTCAAATATCGGGAACATCCAACATTGTGTGCACCACCTCTCATTCCTCTTCCAACAAAAACACAACCTTCAGAGCAATCAGCAGCCCTGGGTCAGAGAGGAGCTTTCAGGCCGGTGGGTCCACTGATCAAAAGACACGTCCCATGCCCTGAAGAACTTCTCTCTGCACAAGATCAGCCCGTGACACTTTCTTTTGCACTACAGTATCTTCAGATGGTTATTCCATCTGAAAATATCCACAGTCCCTCTCCCTCTCCATCCCCTCCACCCTAAAGAAATTCTTTGAGCCCCCCCCCAGCAAATTCAATAGCACTGACAAGTCCCAGACCCCCACATTCTCTTTCAACTTGCTCCAACCCTTACAGCTGGTAATTATTTCCATGTCACACACCCCCCCCAGGAGGCCGTCTTTTTCCATCTTTTTTTATTGTATTATTTTTACATGTACCGTCAAATCAGATCTGACTGGTACAGGAGGAGATTGCCCCCTCCTTCTCCAGCAGAGCATCTGGTGGATTTGAACTGCATACCTATGGGATTGCAGTGCAGCGTCTTGCCACTGTCTTTTTCCGTCCTGAAGCACCTTCCTTGGGCTGCCATGACACCTGCTTTCCTGTGAGGTCCTGTTTTCTTACTTTTCTTTGCAGTCTTGTTGCTATTGTTGTTAGCACTTCCTCCATCAGGCCACTTAACGGTGGAGTGCTCAGGACCCTGGTCCGACCTCTTCTTCACCTGCACCCCCAGTTCACGCAGCATCCTGGATGTGCATGTCTTCAACATGCCACACATCTACCTTTTCAGGCTCAGGTGTGATCTCCTCCTTGAACTTCAAGACGACATCCACCTATTATTAGAAACCTCCATGTCGATGACTGCTTGACATCTCAAACACGGCCTGTATCAAATTACTGACTGCCCTTGCCAAAGCAAAATCTTGATGTTCTCCTGGTTTGTCCATCTCAGTATTTGGCCTTGTAACCAGATGCACAAACCAACCAGCCCTCCTTGCTTCTTTTCCTTTGTTCTCCTGTTTTCCAACATGCAGGGGTCTGTTCCCTTCAGAAATTACACCTTCAGTCTGCGCCTTCTCTCTGACTCCCTCCTTCAGTTCCCGCTTACTGTTTTTTCTTTCATGGACTACTGTGACAGCTCTCTAAGGTCTCCACACTTCCCATCCCTACAATGCATCCTTCACAAAAGGTTGACACAAGTCACTTAAAAATGACCAATCAAACCTTGCCTCTCCCTTTTTGAAAGAACCTTGACTGGATGTTGTTAGCAGCCATCAAGATGAATGTAACTAACTAGAACCCTATAAACAACGGCCCTGAGCCTGGCCCCACCCTGCACTACCCTCAAGGTCTCCACCAAGCTCAAGTCCATTTTCTCATTATGCATTTGCCAGTCCACCTACTTGAGGACACCCTCTCTTTCACTGATCCTCTAACTTCCCGTATGACATCTCTTTCCAAGAAGTGACCCCTCCGGACAACATGCCCCACGTCGGTGAGGGAAGTTCCACCCTCCTTGCTTCCAGGAGCCCCTTGGTTGCACTTTCTCCAAAACAGATTCGTTTGTTTATTTGGTAAACCACGGGATCTTCCTGATTGGATATGTATACTCTTCCTGACTGAACAGCCATTGGATTGAGAATAAACTGTTTTTCATGGCTGGCCAGTCCTTGCTGTCTGGTTCCTAGGTCTTCCTGACCTCATGAGCTACCGCTCCCTCAGCTAATACACTCTGGCCCCCTCTCGCCTTCCTGCTTTGAGGCTTTTGCAAGGTCCTGAGGGTCTGCCTGCACCTTCTCACGGCTGCCTCTTACGGTCACCCAGCCCTCAGCGTAAACGTCACCTGCTCGGAAAATCTTGACTAACCACAGTGGCTAAAGTTATTTATCCAAGTACTTACCAAAATCATCACGCTAGTTAGGAAAGGAGGACACTAATCTGTCTTGGTCACTGCACAATGAGTTAGGCACACGCAAGCCTCTGTGCATGCGCACACCTCCCCACCCCAGAAAGCTTAGAAACACGAAGTTCCCATCCTTCTCCAGGTGGTGGCCTCAAACTGCATGCCTTTGGGATTGAAGCACACAGCTCTTACCACTAGGCCACCAGAGCTTCCCAGACCATTTATTAGTACTTGCTAATTTGAAAGAGAAATCAGCAGTCAGTACTTTTCCTTGCTCAGACATTCTAACATAACACTGTGATTTCTAAATCACAGTTGTTGTTGTGAAGTGCCGTCGAGTTGCAGGCGACTCATAGCGACCCTATGAAGGAGAATCCTTGACGCTCGGGTGCCTTTCATCCTCTCTCCAGGTTCATAGGGTTTCCGGAGGCAAGCTATTACGGAAGTGGATGCCACTCCTCCTTCCACGCTTGTTTTAATTGGGGAGCTCCACCCCACTCCACTCTCTGTCTGCATTGGGCAACCAACCATAACGCATTTGACACATCAGTGTCACAGTGTTCAGCCTCACAGCAACCACAAGTGACCACGGGACGGTAACTTGTACACCAGGGCTATACGACCTACAGGAATGTCTTTGTCTTGGTCACATGTATTACTTCTAAGTCACTTACTAAATATAAGAATTACTCTGGAAGTTGGATTACTCTGGGTGTTGGATGGCAGGCTAGATCTAGATCATTCCATGTGTTTAATGGAAGTGTTAAATAAACATGACTGAATGCCTTCTAAGAAAGTAAAATATGGTCACTTGCAAACAGTTTGACGTGTGCCTGTGTTTTTTTTTTTACCTCGCCATTCAAGGGAAAACATGACAAACGACACAAAGAAAACGCAAGCTCTTTGGCCTCCTCAAGGCAGAGTAAGTACCAGACGACCTGCTGGTCTACAAAGGGTTTTAAAAAAATACTAGAGGAACTCCACTTGTCATGCACAATGCCCTCTGCTCACCTGTGAGGAGGGCAGCAGAGATGGACACCTGCGGGCCTACCTATTCAGGCCAGTGTCAGAGGTCAACGCAAACCGAGCTTAAGTGCCCACACGCACGTTCCCTACTGCCTCCGGAGAAGATGTTCAGTGCTGGAGTAAATCCTGGGATTCAGTGACCCCACGCGAAAGCCAGAAGACAAGGGGAGTCAGAGGTAATTGTCAGGGCACTGACACAGCGGCTCAAACAATCACGTACTCAGACAAAAAGATCTAGTGTTAGCATGTTCGAGGATTTACCACACACAACAAACAACTGTTCGTTATGAAGAATATTTTCAATACTGTTAAAATATAAAAACAAATCCTTTAATTTTTCAGGTGTTTGAAAACACATTTTATACTTAAGGCGGCCTTGAAGAGAAGTACAAAATTTACCAGTTTCCATTTTCCCCACCCACGCTGGTGCAGAGCACTATTCTAGGTACACAAAGGGATCCTTAACCTGCGACAGATGATTTCAATGTCTGGAATTACAACGTCTCCTTTGCCAGGGAGTAAAAATAAATAAAAATGCCACTGCTTGCTCCTGACCTGCTCCAAACTCCCTTCTGGCTCACAGAAAAGTTCCTTTTGACCAGTTTAAGATGGAATAAGCCCAGCTGCTTCTTTCAATATAAGAAAGTAGAACTCCATGTTATAAAAAAAAAAACCCCAGAACAAAACACTTTCCACGCGAGAGCAGTTTCTGCTTGTAGGAAGGGTTAAACATTTCTGAAGTTGAGCTTTTTGAGCCATTTTCTTCCTCCACCATTACCTTTTCTTGACGTAGGCAAACCAGCTATCTTTTTATGCTGCCGTGTCTTTCCCAGGTCCTGCATCTTGAAGACAGGTCATTTCCCGGATGAGTGATCAAAGTGTGTGAAAAAATAAACAAACAAAAGCTGTTAACGGTGAATCACCTATGATTACCCTGATGAAGTACAAAATAGAGAAGCAGCTGGCAGTAACGTAGCTATTCCAAATATCTGTGCTTCAATGGTTTATTTTGTAAGAAGGTACCCATAGTCCAAAATATCTTTGTTTTAAAAATCTTTTGTCAAAAAAAAAAAAAATTACAAAGAAACCTTTTGGTTCAACCTAATAAAAGTGATATCTAGAAAATACTCCCCCATTGTTAAGTCTGTATGGGAAAGTTCGGATGCTGAAGATGGCTAAGGCACGGTGCTCGGGAAGACACGTGGCTTCTGCTGCCACCGCGTTACACACGACGCATCCCTGGCTCCAATGACAGGCACGGTTGGTGTCCTGAAGTGATGCACGGGCTGCGGCAGGGGCTCAGACGTAGGCCCCCAGGGCTGCGTGGAACTCCGTGAGACACTGGACCAGCTGCTGGAACTTGGGCCTCTCCTCCGGGTCTAAGGCCCAGCAACAGGCCATCACAGCGAAACTGCAGCGACAGAAGAGAAAACGTGCCTAGTGAGGATACAGTGCCTGGACCTTCCGGTCATTCATTCCTGTCCAAATATAAATGTGTGAAGGGTAAGAAGTTAAAAAATCCATCAACTTATCCTGTCTGTTGTCAGTTCTAGTAGGAAAAGAAGGTAAAATGGATTATCTGTATTTTATGAAGAGACTTCAATTCTCGGCCAACCCAAAGATGGGTGGTTTGAATCCATGAGCTGCACAGAGGGAGAAAGACGGGCAGTCTCCTCCTGGGCGATTTACGGTCTCTCAAAATCCACCTGAGGGTCAGCTATGCGTCAGTTCCCACTCAAAGGCAGTGCGTTTGGGGTTTTGATCAGACTTCTATCTAAGCATATCCTAACAAATACTTAAACAAGCAGTCCAAAATAATACACAGGAGTGGCATCCACTTCCCAACTAACATGCCTCCAGGAACTATGAACTTTGATAAATGTCGATAGTTGTAGAGGGGCTTCAGGCCTTTTTTCACAGGGTCGCTATGAGTCGTGCTCGACTCAAAGGCAAGTGACAACAACATCCTGCAGTTAAGAATCTAGAAGAAGGAAGACTTCTGCTTCAAATTTCTAACATCTCTGGATCTACAGAACAGTCAACGTGAAAGCTGCTATGAGCCGAGGAGCAGACCTTGAGGAGGGGCTGGGACCGAACCCACGGTCACCAGGCACACAGTCGCCCGCTGCCCCAAGTCCCACGACATGGGGAGACTAGTCATCTGATGAAAGGAGGAAAATCAATTCTCTCCTCACTAGCCCCAAATGTCTTCCTCATATTTTACTCCAGCTGGCAAGGTGAGAAGACACAGGCTGCTTCTTAAAATTGTACAGTCTGAATCACGTCTTACTTTTGTCTTCAGTGTTTCGCTGTGTACACTCCTCTCCCAGATGAGGCGAAGCGCTGTAAATATAAACTGCACGGAGTCTCAGTGCCACCTGTGTGACGCAGCCTGGCTCTCCAGACCAAAAACCAAGTGGAAGCTCACGTCCAAAGGGAACACGACGAAGGGATGCTGCGGCTTGCCACTGTACCCCAGCCCAGCCCCTGATCTAAACAGATGGAACGAAACCCAGGTCATCAAATGCGTGGCAACTCACAGTTCATCCGGGCAGTTGATGGGCTGAGCTATTCGGTAACCGTCTTTCAGATACGCAGCCATCTCAAAGGGGTCAATGTCCACGTACGGCGTCTGGCCCAGGGTCATGAGCTCCCAAAGCGTCACTCCGAAGGCCCACTGTGGACAAGAGCAGCAGGAGAGGGAGAGGACACAGTTAGGACAGCTGTCGTGTGCCTCTCGCGGCCCGCCAAGGGCACAAGAGACCTCCGCTCCTGAGTGAAAGCAGAACACTTTCCAGAAAAAGGAGCTTTTGTGGCTGGTTCTTTTTTTTTAATTCACTTTCAGTTGGTTTTTCCGGCTGAGAGAGAGAAAAGACTGCACTGCCATCGAGGCACCCTTTACACTGCATATCAATACTGTCTGTTTTAAGGTAATTAGATTTACTGGAAGCAAGTGCTTCCAAGTCCCACCTCTAGAGATCACTGACTGCATCAAATGTTTTTCGACTATGAAAAGTTGTCATTTTAAATGCTGCAACTATTCTGCACAATTGGCCAAAGGAAAGTGAAAATAACTGGAGAGTAACTGGAGAAAAGCATCCTGAAGAAGTGAAATCCAAGAAGGATTTAACTTTTTTTTTTTTAAGAAAACCCCACCACGGATTCTTAACCATATTCAGATTATTTAAATGAAGAACTGAAAGCATCCTAAAAAGAAAGAAAAAATAAAGGTCCTTCCAACCTTGCTTGAAAAAGAAATGAAATGTTAATTAAGATGATGATGTGAATTACGAGGGGCGGGGGAGTCCTGAGTGGTGCTGGCAGGTGGACCCACTGGTGGTCCAGCCAGGGTCGCCGTGTGGACTACAGGCAGTGTCTATAGGAAAGGGCCACCGCGTGGCTGGAGGGGACACAGCCGATGCTCCTGTTGACCTGGGGCCACACGAGTCCCAAGGTCAGAAGGGCTGCCGGTGGATGAGGAAGAGGAAGGAGGATAAGCCTGTGGACGTCAGTATCATACTGATGAGAGCCCACGAGCCCAAGACATTGTGCATTCTTTATCTCATTTCATTTTCACCTCAAGCCTGAGAGAATCCTTGGTAGCAGGGACGAGGGTGATGGATGTAATCTCCAGACACTCAAGAGCCCACCAGTCACTGGCTTGGGAGGGTGGGTGGTGGTAGTGGTGGTATTTTACTCTGCTCAAGAAAAAAAGTTATTCCAAGTTATATATATAAAAGTTGTTTTAGTTTGGGTTTTTTTTTTTAAAGTTCACATCTAAGTATTTGCCTATATTAAAGATCCTACTATATGTGAAAGGGGGCTCTGGTGGCTTAGTGATAAGGAATTGTGTTGCTAATGCAAAGGTACATAGTTCGAATCCACCAGCTGCTCCAAAGGAGAAAGACAGGCAATCAAATCCCATTTGATTTACTACCTCTGAAAACACCTTGGAGGTCAGCTATGGGTCAGCTCTGACTCTACTAAACACACAACTATATGTGAACTTTCTTTTAAAAAAATTTTTTATTTTATGCTCTTTTTTTTCCTTCTCCTTGTTGTGTACTGTTGAGTCGGATCTGACTGGCACAGGAGGAGGCTGCCCCTCCTTCTCCAGCGGAGCATCTGATAGATTTGAACTGCACACCTTCGCGATTGCAGTGCAGCTTCTTGCCACCAGAGTTCCCATGTATATATGAACCTTTAATAATTCTAGTTATTAGTGAAAACAGTACCTAATGTTGCAGTTTTCTATTTTTCCAGTGGAGTCCAATTTCCAAAGCGTAAAACAGAGTGTTTCACTGCACAGAGGAAACATAGTTCAGAGAGGGAGCCCTGGTTGGAGGAGCCTGTTGTCATTCTTTCTTTCTGAGATGAGATGGGTCTCTTGGTGTTTACTGACCGTGGCCATGGTGAATAATGAATGCAAATGAAGTTTTGGAGGAAGAAACACTGGGAACTGGTAGTAACTGCAAAAGGTGCAGCCAGGGTGGACCTTGGAGGCAATGACAGTGAAACTCTGTCTTACATATTGTGGCCATATTTTCAGGAGGTACCCTGTTCTTGGAAAAGGATATCACGCTTGGAAAAGTGGGGTGTCAGCAAAGGACAGGCAGACTTTCAATGAGATAGACTGACACAGTGATCCTAACGGTGGGCGTGAGTATGCCCAAGATGGTCTGGATGGCACAGGACAGATCCCCTCACTGTTCACTGGATCACTGTTCCGTCACAGGTGACTTGACGGCACTTACCAACAATAACAGCAAGCACCCGGAACACAGGGAGTGACCTGCCCATAGTGCCGGAGAGGTCCAGGAGAAGAACTTCAGACTTAGGAACTCAGGGCGGTCGTGTGGTTTATATCTGGGAAGGGGAACTGTACACAGGTGTTAACAGTGGAGTCACTGGGTGGTGAAACTACTAACATAAGAAGGTTGGAAGATCAAGTACATCCAGAGGTGACTCGGAAGAAAAACGTGATGATCAATTGAAAAAAAAAAAAGATAATAGCTGCTGAAAATCCAGAGATGTGCACAGTTTTACTCCAACACATCCAAGTTGGCATCAACTTAACAGCAACTAGGTTTTAAGATATTAATGCATTAGCACCTTTAATAGATAAAAAGCCAGCTTTCAACAATTATTTCTTTGGAACCAGGAGGGACCTGAAAAGACAGAGTAATGACGGGCATAGTTCAGTGGTGATTAATTTTATAAAACATAATGCATGGGAATGATTGTGTGAAACACAGTGTGAATGAAGAATAGTGTGAAACACACTGTATATTAACTTTGTACGCAAACCAATACAAAATACAATTTTTAAAACATTACTTTTGATGATTTTGTGCCTATCACACTACCCCTAAGCACTGAGCCAAGGTTCTCTCCTATTACACACTGTAACCCTGAAAAACCCCATCCAAACAGAACAATCAAGCCACAAGGTACATGTTCATTTCATTTCCTTACAAGCCAACGACGTGATTAATTACACGTTGGCTCACGAACTTAAAAATACAGAGAAAAGAAAACCAAGACCAAATAAATGGCACAAGGATGATTTGTGGAAAACTTGTTCTCTGAAGTCTTTTGAACCATTTCAAAGTTAGACAAACTGACTCAGTCATTTTCTTCAGTCTGACGTCTGTGGAGAGAGGGCAGCAAGAAGGTCAAGCTGTTTTTCCAAGGTTTTATGGAAGGGTAGTGCCCCTTCTATTCAGAGAACAATCACAGAGTAACAAGAGTCCTCGGGCTCGAGCCATCTCGGTGACGGTCACTCTTCTCTACAAACCGCTCTAGTGTTCTTAACATGCAGAACCTCAAACTTCTTCTTAAAAAGTAACACGACACTCCGACGTGGCCATCAAAAAAGTCTACCTGTTCCTTTTCACTTAGTGTTCACCAAAGTTGGGGCTACTGAAGGCCAATCTCTCAATTATCTTGCTTCAAGGGATTATAATACAAAAACCTAGCTTGTATCAATTTAAAAGTTTCATTTAAAAAATGCTCACTTTACATTTCAGGCTACTATAAACTGATGATAAATTCACTGCAATTCTAAATTTTCTCACGTGATCCCAGGCGAAGTATTCTCCAAAACGCCTTGGCTAAGTCTTTTGGTTCGTACTAGAAACCCACCTCTCCTTTCCTGTACGTGAACACAGGTCTGAGGGACAAAATCCAATTAATGTCGCTCCTCACGTCAAGTGCATTCAAAGGTAGACTAATGACAAAGGAATCCTGGTGGTGCAGTGGCTACGGACGTGGCTATTAGCTGAAAAGTCTGCGGTTCAAATCGACCAGCTGCTCTATGGAGAAAAAGGCCCGGCACACTCTAAATATCACAGCCTTGGAAATCCTACGAGGCAGCCTTCTCTGTCCCGTGGGATCGCTGTGAGCTGGCATCCACCCGACGGCACAGAACAATGGCACTAAGGATTGTCTGGGATGCTTTATCTAAGGATGCTTGTGAAAAGCAGCTTCACTGGTACTTGCGTATTGTTGTTATGTGCCTTCGACTGTACTACGACTCTCAGCAACCCCATCAATTACAGCTCTGAATTCTGCCCTATTCTGAGCCAATCTCACTGTCTCCAGGCATGTGAACCCACAGCCAGTCACTGTGTCAACCTCTCATATCCAGGGTGTTCTCCTGTGTCGTCCCTCCACCCTTCTAAGCATGCTGTCTTTGTCCAAGGACTGATCCCTCCTGCAGACATGTTACAAGTATGTGCTGTTAGATGGAATCTTGGCTGAAAGCAGAGAATAACAGAAAGATGTCTGTATTTTATTGACTATACAAAGGTGTTGGACTGTGTGGATCCTAACATATCAGGGCTAACACTGACAAGAATGAAAACTCCAGAACACTTAATTGTGCTCATGAGAAACATACACATAGACCAAGAAGCTGTTGTCTGAACAGAACAGGTGAACACTATAGGGTTTAAAATCAGGAAAGGCTGCATCAGGAATGCACCCTCTCTCCACAGCTATTCAATCTGTGTGGTGAACAAATTACTCGAGAAGCTGGACTCTGAAGAAAAATGTGGCAGCAGGATCGGAGGGAGACTCCTGAAGAACCTGCATTATGCAGATGACATAACCTTGCTTCATGAAAGGAGATGACAAACACTCACTGCAGAAGCTCCAAGACTGCTCAGCCTTCGATATGGATACTATCTTAACACCAAGAAAACAGAACAGGCTTCTTCGAGGGACCACTGATGAAAGCCACAAGCTTAGTCTTAGACACAGTTCAGTTCTAGGAAGGTGAATCTAGAAGAATTTAATAGAGTCCAAGTATGTAGAGCTCTCTTGGAAGGCTGGATGTGAGAGTTAAGCTTAACGTGTCTTGATAGATAGCATATTCTCATTTCCTACTTTGGAATAAACCTCATGAGAAAGCAGTGTTCTACTATAAAAGGAAGAAACTGGAAACGTTCAGGTCTAGATCAAAGTCCACCTATTGCTCATTAATGGGCTCTAGAGATATGACTGCAACATGACACAGCTCCAGAAACACATTTGCATAGAAAACAATGTGTTTAGGGCTCCCATACTTTGTGTGACTGAAGGGCCTGCCCAGTCAAGCAAACAATTAGACTTCAAATTATTTCTGGGAAACTGCTTCAGATGAGCTCTAACTCTGAGACTGGGAATTCAGAGGAG